AATAAAAATCCGTTTATAACAAAGAATTCATTGTAACTTGAATTGGAATGTCTTCTGCGGGTAGCCCTCTTTAGTTTAAACAATTTTTAAAATGTGGTCTACCTTACACTGATTTTTTCAAATATAACAACAAAGATATAGATCAGGAAGTCAAATTTAATAAGAATGCTTTTATTTCAAAAAAGAAATTGACCGACGTATAACAATAATGAACTGATAAGGGTAAACAAAAGAAAGATTCCGATCAGGAAAAAAAATCAGGGTACATCACTTCTACTTATTTTATATTGAGCTTAAAAAAGTTAAGAACTGCGTACATTAAAAATGTCAATATACTTACCAAAATGTATGTTTCAATATATCCCGTAAATTCAACTAAAAGGGATTAAATTCTATATATCTGACAATATATTTTCGTGTTAAGTCTTTAATTTATATTCTCCGGTTGGTGATTGTATTTAATATAATATATTAATCTTCGCATGTCTGTTTGCCATTTAAAGTTTCTTATAAATGATATGAAGAAAAATGATCGACTTTGAGTTTTGTTATGTCAAGGTCAGCTTATGCTAAATAAACGTTGTTTACATTGACATACATGCTTGTTTGTATACACCTTAAGTATTTTCTGAGGTTCTGTCTTAGACATTAAAAGCCTGGTATGGTATTCTTAACCGAATTAGAAATGGACATAACTGAACCCTTGGACAATATTCGGACTAATATGATGAATATCACATTCTCTTGATTTGTACTCACTTTAATCATATACGTGAAAACATTTTACCAGATAAATTGGTGAAAATCCTCCACGTGAAAAAATTGATATATGTTTAAAGAAACGCAGATGCGATATTATAAGTATAAGACTATCGCACGTTTTCTCGATCATACACTTAAGTATAGACACCAATTCAGTACATAAAAATTATACATAAAACATTAAAATTGTAGTAATATAGTGTAATACAATCGATGATCTAAGAAATTCTCCTAAGATCTTAGATATCTTGAAATTTCTTTGATATGATTCTTCCAATGTCCATACTACAATATACTATGTATATTTATGGTCACCTCATTGTATTTTCCATTGCTATGTCATTGTTGTAATATTATGTTATATTTTGGACGGAGGCCTATGTTACATGAATAAACTTTACTATACTTACTTACTTACCATTGAACAAAACTATACTATGGTATTTAAACAGGGCAATTCATGTCCTCACGGCCGTTTTTCTTCGGTTAGAGATTTGCCTCATATAACAATTGTGTACACTTTATATACAGGCAGAACACATCGCGGATCTTAAAATCGACAATGCTCAACGAGCCTCTCAAGGCTATTTTCCTTGCGTCAGATCTGTGCGATTTATGTTGGTGTAAAGAAGAACCTCAAAAGTTATGCAAGGCCTAATCAGCAACGGAATATAAGAGATGGTGTTTTTCGACTGTTTTCACGAACATATATACACTTTCTATACAAAAATTATTAACCGGCTATTCAGAGACATAACCATCCCATGCTGGTATTTCGTGATAATTTCCCTTGGGTGAGTGCTTAGTGTCTTATACTATTGTAAAAAGATAGCTGATTAAATGCAATTATTTATTTGCAACGGATCCTAAAAATGAAATCAAGCCTTGCGAGCCAATCGCGGAAACTGTCTCCTGAGTTAGAGTGTTGCGCTATAATTTGCAATGCAATAAAACCGCAAGACTATTGCAATGATGAATCAGCAATTGAATCAGACATATTGTGTCGACAATTCTTAAACTTTACACAATAAAAAGAAATCGTCAGTCCAAAAATACTATACATCACGGGCCTCTCACAATCGTTTACTTGCGCTGAAACTTTGAGTCTTATGTTTCTGTGAGGAGAAACGTCTTAACTCATAGATACTCATCTTTAAGTACAAAGCGTCCATAATATTGCGACTAAGTGTGCAAGACATACAATGATTTCATGTAAAAAAGTACACGCTTGTCTATGTCAAAAACCACTCATTCTTCTTTTCATAAAACAGTTTTACCACTGTTTCGTGTCCGTTTATAATCATAAAGACCACAATTTCAGGAGGGTTGGGATTTGATGTATGACCTGCGAAACTTTCAGTTAATCTTAGGATATACTGTAAGTAAAAATGTTCAGTCAAATGTAATGCAATGGCCTATTCGAAAAGGAGTCAAATGAGTGGTGATTTAACATTTTGTTCAAGAAAATGGTGTTTTTTACGAAAATTCGTATACTTTTACATACAGAAAGAACATCTTAAAAACAACCGTGCGGGCATACCGATGTCATTTGGTTAGCACTCGGAGCCAAGTTTGCGGTATAAAAACCTGCAATGTAATGCAATTGCTTATCTGCAAATGAATAAGATAAAATGTGTTTTTCATTGACTGATACCACATAATGTTGTTTTTTTTTCATGAAATTGCATAGATTGTTATTCAGAAATAACGAATCGCCGATAAAAAAAGAACATGCATTGAAGGCCTCTCGTGGACATTTTTTTCTTAAGTTATAGCTTTTTACTTGATATTGCTGTGAAGAACCCCAAATCTGATGCAGATGTTAACTACGTTATAAGACAAATGGTATTAATTAAGTGATTACAATAATTTGGTTTCTACGAACATTCATACAATTTAAATTAAAAGAACAAATTGACGATCAAAACACAAAAAGAAAACATCAATGCCATGCCAACCACAACCCGAGAAAATTTCCCATGAAAAAGATGTCTTAGATTGCTGCAAAGGAAAGGCTTCACCAATCTAATCATATTCCTTTTTTAAAAAGAATAATGATAAAGATTGTATAAGCGACTCCAAAATATGGGGTTATTTACAATTATTATACACTTTATATAGTACAAAGAGTATACACTTTACAAAGAGACCAATTGTCAATCAAACAAACGACCATTCCATGCAGGCCTTTCGAAATCATTTCCGCTGAGTAATAGGTAACCCGAGCAAAATGTCAAGTTCTTATTTGGATTGGCAATTGGCTTTTTCATGTTTATCGACTAAAATTAACATCCTTCTGAAACTATTATTCCGAAAGATCACTGAACATTGGTCTTGCATATTTATGAAAATGTGATTAAGTGATGTGTGACAAAACGCACATGTGAACACGTTCATACTTGTTCTGACGTCATGCACAGTTATCATAAAATGTTAATGTAATAATATGGTAGATTTTATTAGCTTATAGGGTATTATTTACAGCAAATTAAGATTTAAAGATAAAACTAAAGGAAAATGACAAAAATGGTCTGCAATAAATGTTCGATTTTTGGACGGCTGATTTGTTCTACATTTTAAGAAAATCTAAGAAATTTTGTTAAAAGCCAAATCTTATCGAGCCAATCATATAAACGTCAATCTTTAAAACACCATTTGACTGATTTCGTTAATGATTCGTATCGCATTTGTTTGAAATGTCTTGTTTATAGCAATATTAGGCCCAACGCCTAACAAAAGTATACATCCTTGAGATTTCAGGGTGTCATGGTCGATTTGGACCGTAAAAACCAACCTCTAAGTAATACAATAAAAAATCTTTAAAGAATTCACACAAATGGTGATTGACGGTTAATATTAAAAATGTTGTTTCAAACCAAAAGTTTAACATTCAATTTCAATGTATAGATAAAGAATAAAATTTGTTTAATTGCCGGTTGTAACAAACGACCATGCTATGCAAATAACTGCAAGCCATATTCCTTGGCTTTTAGCTTTCTGCCTTTAATTACTGTCAGAAAGAACATCCCAACTCATACAATGTTTACTCTTGAACGCAATCACTTAACAACTAGTGCTTGCACGGAGGCCTCAGAATACTTTGTTTTAGGGTTGCAATGCAGAAAAAGGAGTATGGCGTCGACCTTTCCGCGTGGCAACCGTAAAACACAATTTCAAAAATCACTATTTTGCATTGATTCATTTCGGTCAAAACTGATTTCAAAGTGCCTCAACTTGTCAATGGATTGAGAAAGAGTCAAATGCTTTTCCGAGTTGGTTACAAGTTACCTTAAGGTCGACTTGACGCCATCTCTCAGCATCTCAAAAGTCCAAAAACTGGAGCCCTTTAATTATTTATTTGATAAAGGATGGCGCTGAAAAAGTGTCATTTTTTTCAAAATCAATTTTTGAAACGAAAACAAGATTCTAAATAAGTCATTTTGTTCACTATTTAAGCCTAAAGGGGGACGAAAAGGCGTGAAAAGACGTCTTTATGAAGCAATGTGTTAATTAAGAAAAGAAACAACACCATTTGCTAATGACAACCAACCGTATAAATATCATTTGTGTGATTCCGTTAAGGATTAATCATTCCCTAGGTTTGGAAGTTTTCCTTTTCTGCAATAGAAGATTTCAGTGTTGCATTTTCGTGTTTTTTAGACATGCTATTTCTTTCTGAAAACAAATGTGAACAACAAATCGCGAAAAGCACAATATACCGAGGACAACCGTTTAAACGCCATTTGTGTGATTCTCTTCCAGATTATTAATTGCATTAGTTTTGTGTTCTTCTTTACAGTAATGTAAAGCACAAAGCTGTAGACCAAGGAATATGTCCCTGAGATTTCTGCGTGGCATTGTCTTTTTCAGGACATTTGCTTAATAAAAGACGGCATAACTCTGTCAATAAATAGTTATGAGGCGAAAGGAAAATGTGAACCCCCCCCCCCCGCTCTCTATATATTTTTACTTGTTATTTTTATTGACTTGTTTAATAACTGCAAATAAATTCATACATCGTGCTGTTCTTTCAATAGAGATAAACTTAAAGTAACACATTGAAGCACAAATATTTACATCAGATAGGTTGAAAAAACCTGACTTTAACAACGCATACCTTAACAAAATCTGATAAACAAAGTGCAACATCATAGTTTATACTAAAGGTCGACTACATTTAGACCGTCCAAAATATTATATATTTACCGATATGTGCCGTGCGTGTCATTTTGGGATTATCTGTCAATGCTTACAGATTACAATAAAAAGTTAAAAGTAATGTATTTCACTAAAGTATTCATCTTATGTGGACTCAATATCTGTGCATGGGCGCATGATAACAAAACTGTGGATCAGAGTCATTCCGTAGACGATACAATAAATAAGCTATTAAATCATGCTAAATATGATCTTCAAGATGCAGGAATTGCGATGCTACTGAAAGAACTCAAAGGTAGATTTTAAATATATGTTTGATAAATGATTATGCTCACAAAACGAATTGCTGTAATCTAAATGATATTTTATGTTGCTTTTACTTGAAATGACAAGTAAGTAAAATACTTGTCGACAAAAGCATAATGATATATGTTACGATGCATTTTATTTCTTTTAATTTGATAAGTACATACAGGTGATTATTATGTTATGTATAAATGCACAATGATGATCTTTCAATTTTGATAAATTGTAATATCATATTTTAATCAGCTTCCCAATTATTTTTCAATTTTATACAATAAATATGAAATAAAAGTAATCACGGCGAAGTAAATGTTCAATTTAACAAATAGAAAAACATATAAAAATATACATAAACAATGTATTAAAATGTTTATGTTTAACAGATGCCAGAGCTTACGAAAAGAATGGTAAGCACGTGTCTACCTCTCTTGAAATAACAAGCATCTACACACGTTGGGGACGCAAAACATGTCCTGCTGGTGCATCCTTAGTTTATGAAGGGTTTGCAGCTGGGGGAAACTTCGAGGTAACTGGGGCACCTGCAAATTATTTATGTCTTCCACAAAGTCCAGAATGGGATAATAAAAGCAATAACCCACAGCACATAAGCCATATATACGGAGCAGAATATGAACTCCACAACAGCATATTTCAAGGACTTACAAATCATGATGTTCCTTGTGCCGTTTGTCAAGTCCCGAGAAGCAGTGTTGTAATGGTACCCGGAAAAAATACCTGTTTCAAAAACTTTGTTAAAGAATACACCGGTTATCTTATGGCTGGATACCCTATCTATAATGCAGCCTCCGAATATGTTTGTGTTGATGGTGAACCTGAACAAGCAAGTAAATCTCTTGCTCATAATCACAATGGGAAACTGTTTTACTTTGTTCGAGCTAAATGTGGCTCACTAAAGTGTCCTCCATATAAAGAGGATGACGACCTTACATGTGTCGTGTGTTCTTATTTACCATGAACTAAAGTATTCCCTATATTACATTTTGAGAGTGTATAATCGTTCAAAGAGCATACTTAATTTATTTCAGTTATATTGAGTTTGATTATGTTTCTTTTATAAATAAAAGCTTGAAAAGCACATTTCGTAATTTATATGTGTATCAATTACTTACAGTTATGCATGTAAACAATCTTGAATGAAAAAAAGGAAAAAATAGCGACTTTATTTACAAGTAGAAATCGTGTTCTTAGTGAAAGCTTGGAAAGCGAGGATGTTTAGCTTTTATTAAGAAAGCGAATCATCAAAGACGCCATAAGAACTGTATATTATTTTAATCAATGTTATTAACAAAGTTATAAATATAAAAACTTTTTAACTACTTCTGAAATATGCTTTGTTTCATTTTGTTTCTCCTGACAACTACGATATATAGGTAGAATTTGGTGCAATGATAAGATGTTCACGTAGAATGTGATTTGTCAGGAGTTTGAACCCCGATCCAGGCAAGTCAAACATTTGCGGTTTAAGTGATACGAAAAAAATCCATATGTATCAAATTAAAACTATTTTCCAAAAATGTAGAAGTTTGTCATTTTATACAACCGTTTTATCGTGTATATTTCTGAAAAGGCTTTTGATAAAGGTATTATCAGAATTACTTCAAAGATCACATGGACACCAGTTTTAAGTGTTAAATAATATATGATATTTCTTATTATGTTCCAAACACCAATCGTCATTTTTATTTTTTATGTTCACACATAAATTTTACAGATTCCACTTGATGCTTTGCATTAAACTAACTTGTGAATTATAAAATATAACTCTTTAATAAATCAGTAGTGAAGTGTTTAAAACAAAAGTCAGTTTCTCTTTATTCTAAAGTTTCCTGATGAATCAATGCTCACAAGTTCGAAAACGTGATCATATATTATAAAATGACTTAATTAGTTTTGTATAATATCTCAATCATATGCCATTAACAATTAGATTTTAATGCTTGTCTGAATTCTATTTGCTTACAAATTACACTGCATCTTTTGTCAAATAATGTACAGGTTTGACTGTAATCAGTCATTATGGTTTGAGAACATTAAAATTACTTGAAATACATGTAAAGATATAATCATAACCTGTGCGTGTTGAAAAGTATTGTACTCTTGATAAAAGATTGTATACTTTCTTTTTACTCCGGATTTAGAATTTAGATACTGATGAGGAAGAGGGAACAATAGGGTATCTGTAATAAAAACCTTAAACATCCTTAGAGAAAAGGACAAAGCCACTCAATTGTTATAAAAACAACAAAAGATAAACAAAGATAAAACGAATTTACCAAAATAAAAGCATATTTTACCAAAGTAAGTCAACATTGATGTTAAAATTCCTGCTTCTACAAGCAACGCATTACATGCACGTATTTGGAGGTTGGTCATGGGAAGGATTTGTGAATTTAATTTGCACCGGTTGTCTTTAAACCTGTGGCATATATGTTATATGTACATATGGTTCTGCAGTGGGTCATAATTGTTTTGCTTTTATTATCATCACAAATATTGACATCAAAATGCTTTACTGTACATGGAATATAATGATATTGTTGTAATATAATTTATATAGAAAAAAGGCATAATTACATAAAACGTATAAAAGTATGTGTGACTTTCATGTGCTTTGTACGTATGAAAATAATGATGAATATTTATATTATATATCATATAATTTGGCAGTTATGTATTATGACAATTAAACATGAAAATTAAATATATTAAGAACTATAATTATTGTTTTCTTCTTTGACAGATTCTCCCAAATTTTCCGATGTCAACATGTTTTCACAAAACTGATGGAAACACTGTTGTCGTAATTCTCTTTTTTTCACTTTGTAAATAACATCTCCGAAATGAAAAGGAATAAATGTCCATGGCAAAGCTTGATTACATGGTAAATCATTTAAATGCTGTTGTTTGTTGATATGTTTTTATTCTTGAATATTAATCCAAAGAAAATGGTTTATGATAACGTTGACTGACAATGACTACACCGAGGTTTTCATGTAGGTGTGGACCTGAAAATTGAGTGCTAAATTTCAGATCTTTCGCCCACCTTTTTTCAGAATAGTTAATGTAATTGTGACAAATGCTGAAAATTGAAAATCGTTGCAAAGTTTTTTTACTCAAATCGGTTTAAGAATGGATCTAAATTCGATTTTCGATTTTAATTGTCTATTTTTGTTAAAAAGGGCAATGTTTATTTTCATTTCGGTAAAAATCTCGAAAAATAAATTTATTTCATTATAAATAATTTTTTTTTAAAAAGAAGCATAGCTTTTTAAAACCCACACTAAATAATTGTTAAAAAATTTTTTTGGGGGCATAAAAACCCCGCATTCTAAAAGTTTCATTAAAACCCTTTTAACAGTATCCCTTGTAAAAATTTATCCAAAAATTGTTTTATAAATTTAAAGGGTTTTAAATTTGGGAAAACCCCCCGTAACAAAAGTTTGTATATGAATTTTTAAAAGCAAAAGAAAAACTATATAGGGTCGTGTATGCGCTAGTCACGGGGTTATAGTTCTATCCAAAACAAACAAAATAAGATTTTTTGTGAAACCCCCTTTTACCCTTTAAGCTTCACGGTTGCAGAAGGCCCTGTGGTTCAGAAAAATTAATCATCTCATAAAACCAGATAAATTTGTATGAAATATTTCCGATACAATTGGGAAAATATACTGTTAAATTAGGAACTGCTAATTTTAGTCATGTTTGTTATTTTTAATATTAAGTTACGGATGATCCGAAGGCGGGGGTTTCTAATTGCAAACAGAAATTGTTACATACCGAATTCGCCACAATGAGGTTTGCACTTTGTATGGCTCATTTTAAACTCATTTTGTTGCTGGACACCAAAATAAGATCTGGAGTCGATATGAAACCTGTCGCTATTTCTTTATTTATGAAATTTATTTAATGTAACTTTAACCGCAGATCTTTAAAAAGTAAAACATGTTACAGAAAGAAAAAAAAACATCCCTTTAACTTCAAAAGTACCTTATGCGAATGCAGTTAACATTTATCATTAATGATCAGATTTCACCAACCTTGGCATATTCAAATATAGTCCGATCGCTTAAAATAACTGCCGTAAGTAAAATAAATAAAAACTGTAGTTATTAAGGTTTTTGTACAAAACAATATTGATAATATTTTTTCATGGTTAACAATGAAACAAAGATTATTCCCTGCCTAAGTGAAAAAATAAACAAAATTACCAAATTATGCCAAATCTAATATCAAATAATTATGGTTTCTATTATTTTCAAAGTCTAATATAAACTACACGGTTTAAAGTCCTTTAATTTCTCCAGATCAACCAAATGAATATTATTTTAAGAAAACATATTAAAATCATGAAAATAGCCCCACATGTTTGGTATTTTTAAGGATATTTTGAATGAGTGGGAGAAATGTCAAACAAGTATTTAAATCATTTAACACTAAAATTTCTTTACAAATAAGTATTAAGAAGCATTGCTACCTAAGGGTTCACTAATACACCAATACATGCAATTATTTAGAAAGGAGAATGTTCGATAAAACATAATAAACATTGATAAACATCAATTTGTTTTGGTATTGATCCGGAAATGAGTTGGATCTTTAATTAAACTGAATATAAACGCAAATTTTCATTATCCAAGATATATAATTTCTACATAATGCTTGAGGACCACAAAGAGTATAGTATGAATTACATTATCGTTTAGACTAAACAAATGAAAACGATGATCAACATCAGTTGATATGATTGATATGATTGTGTCATATATATTGAATGATCACTTGGTCTAAACGTTTCAAATTCTTTCAATACATTATTTAAAATTATGCAATAATGTTCCTGAAGGCACTGGTCTATATACATGTAAATATAGTACGATACGAGTACGATAAAAGTTTCATTGTTGCATATATGCATGTATAAAAAAATAGAAGAAATATTCAATATTTTCCTTTTTTACAACAATAATTGTACAACAATTCCAAGTAAAAAAAGAAAAAAAAATATATTTTATGTTATTATTACAATAAGACAGGATACAAAATTAATGTAATTTTTTTTCCATATTAATCATTTAATCAGATATAATGTTTCATATATCGAAAAACGAGACGAAGAGAACGAATAACATGTGTACGACACTGTATGAAATGCACACGTTGATTAAAGCTTTATTTTCTATTTCCTATTAAGTTATATAAGTAATTTGATCACGACTTTTGTAAATTGAAAATTAATTAGAGCCTAAATGAAAGAGTAAAGCAAACACATTTTTTTTGAAATATAATGTTTTCATAATTACAATTACAAACAATATAGGCAACATAATTTTATAAAACAATAAAACTTATTTAAGCAAATGTTTAAGAGGAAAGGGAACGTTAATACACGCATATCAAAAGTTTAAGTAATGATTGACATTTTCATTTTACATAACAAGAAGAAATGTGTGTCGCTTAAACAAGACTTATGTTATTGTTAAACATAAATCTTCCAAATACTGATCGAGTTTGTTAAAGGTATTTGTTAGATAATTGCTATACTGATTGTTAAAAAATGCATATAAATTACACGTGAACTTATCCACTTTTCTGATGAATATTGATTTTAGACATTACGCATACTCATATGTCTCCTTTTAGTTTAAATTCATGATACTTGTGATCAATTCCAATACGTTCGCATATTCTGTATTATTATGATAATATAATATTTTCAATATGATCATACTATAGTTATAATAGTTAAATATTATATTTATTTTCAATTGAATATTTAGTTAAAATAATAAAATAATCCTGTATATAACACTTGTGATATCAAATGTATTTCAAAATTAACAAACGGCGCATGTAACTTTCTTTTCCTTTTCATACGATGGTCATTTAAGTGACATACATTTGACGATAGAGAAAAAACAAATCACGATTAACTTTTAAATTCATAATTATAATAATACTGAAACATTTGTCTTTCGTACAATGTAAAATTTGGTATCTTAATAAAATAATTGTTATCTATCATGGATAACGTGTTTGATTTTCAAATCAAACGATTACACTTTCGAAAAGTTTTCTCAAAATGAGCAAATGCGCATGTTATTTTCTTTCCCTCTTCGTACGGTGGGCATTTCAATGATCCGCACTTTGCATAGACGAAATGAAAAAGTTTGCCATTATGATTTGCACTTGAATCAGGAAAAACTCACGCTCATCATCAACACAGACAAATTCCGTTTCTGATGTATTTGAATCGTGACCCGACATAAGATATCCGCTGTACTGCAATGAATGTTTTTCATGACATACATTTCGTCCAGGGATTATGACAATATTGCTGCTAGGTACGTGGCATACAACACATGGGACATCATACTCGTAAATCTTGTCCCAGTTAGTGCTACCAGTCTGATACTCTGCGCCATGCATAAGATTCGTTTGTGACTTATACACATTGTTATCGTTCCATGTTGGCTGTTTATGCAGGCAAACATAATTTGCTGCGCTATCCCTTGCACCATGTTCAGAACCTCCAGCAAAACCTTCGTAGATCAATGTTGTTCCATTCGGACAAGAAAATCTTCCCCATCTTGTAAACGTGTCACCTGTGAATTTTAAGAGATTCTTCTTTTAGATGAATTAACATTTTAATCCGTAAATAAACAGTAGCATAGCAAGTACCCATGCAACTGAGTTACTTGTCTCAGATTGAATCATTCTTTATATCCCCTTATTGTTTATGCTTAATTTTAGGCGGTTAAATTACTTTCTGTTGGAGCGTTCTTCGTGTTTATTATATTCAATATGATATAGACAATAGTCTAACAAAAATCAATGATTTTTTTTTATCTGATTCAACTTAATGCAGCCCATATTGAAATCAATTATTAGTGTTTAATTCAGAATAAAAAATAAATATTGGGACACAAATCACAAATAATTGACAATAAGCAATCTCAAAGAATTCATTACAGATAAATAATATCACCTTGGCTAAGAGTACGAGTGTCTTCTTTCTCCAGCTTAGTTTCCTGAAAATGTTCAAGTTTCTTTACTACTTCGGACAATCTATGCATTACTTTAAAAACATATTCGAATTTGTCGTAGCATGTTTCATCATCAGTCCTAGCGAAAGAAAAAATCCCTATGGATAGAACAAATGTGAGAATATTCATTCTCTTCAGTTACAATACTTTAACTTTGACACACATCAACGCATGAAAGTCTAAATGGTTATATTGTTTTTTTGTTGTGTACTGAGCTTATAAACAGAAACTTTAATAGGGAGAATGGCAAGTATTTGTTATCTGGTTGTAAATTTTGTAAATTAAAGGATAAATGCCAAATATTCAGTATTTTAGCTGGCTTATCTTTTAAAGTTTTTGTTTAATATTTTTAGAAACGAAACAAATTACCTGAGTTTATATTCCTGATTTAAGGTGAATTTTATTATCTGAACCATATGCATATCTCATGCATGTTCTTTTAAAATCACATTGTTAAATAAAATTAGGATTATCAAATGTGTTGTTATTCTTTACTCATTCTTATGAATATCAGTCGTTTTCCATCTTAATTGAAAAACCATTGTCGTAATGTGATTAAATACAATAATTATTTTAATATCATAAGATATTAATATTTGTGTAATTTCTTACAATCTTTGTCATGAAAATTGAATTATATAATCTGTGTTTGTTTATAAGCATTAGTAAGCATAGTAACCTCAAACGACAAAACACTCCTTTGATGACTGGTAATTACAGAATAAATCAGTATTACTTTCGGTGAATTTCAGTAACTTTCCTTTAAGCATTTACGGGCCTCAATGCTTTTCTACTTCACAAACTGGTAGATGATTAAAATGATATTTTGTACATTTATTTCAAAGCATCGGCTTTAATATTGGTAATAGATCAATAATTGATGCTGAAAGATGTGTATGATACAATATAAAAAAAAATTAACTTAAAATCTTATTATTAAAAGACTGTCCAACCTTTTCTAAGAATTGAGCGTCCCCGATACAACCTGAACAACAATATTCATAGAAAAAATCGTGGGTCACATGGAGAACTTTGTTTCATAGAGAAATTTAATATTGAACAATAATGTCAGAATGTAATATTACTTTTTACCTGTTCATTGACTTTTATCTAAAATATTACCGAGAATATTTATATACCACATACATAGGCGTATCTAAAATCAAGGAAATCATTGGCAAACAAAAAATGAATAGATTATCAATGTGCTTGTTGTATAGTATGAATTTTGTTTTGCTTTAGAATGCCATTTTCATCTCTTGATATAAGTTGAGGCTTCCATGGTATTAATGTAAGAAATAAACGGCCCATCTAATGTGCACTTTGACCTTAAGAGACAAAGTAAGGTACTGTTAACATAACAGTTGTATGCAGTTAGTATAACTCTTAATAACTTATATTGTTGAAACCAATTAGTATCTGTGGTCAAACATATAATTAGTATGTCATGTTTTAATATAATGAACTTCATTGCGACTGACTTCAAATATTTATTACTTCCGGGTCTCTTATATTGCAAACAAAAACTGGTATGCGTGCTTAAAAAACACTAATCGTCAACATCTAAAATATTACACATAAAATGACTTAAAATGTTCTTTGTCTCTTTGTTTAAGTGACAACAGCTGTGAAAAGAAAAAAAATATTTAAACACTTTACCAAAATAACCATTATCTTGTGTATGTATTTATTTTATATTTTTTGTGTCGAACGAAGGGTCAAGTATATCGTATTTTTGAAGTCTGAAAATACTTTTAGTAATAAATTGTATGATTATCAAAATATAAAGTATAACTTAGCACGTTTTTCTTTGAACTTTTGCTGTAAATGTTGAATGACAATCTATTTGAATCTAAATAATGAGCATTTAATTTTCTCTATATAAAGTCATGCTTTAAATTGCTATTTCGTAACTATTGCACTGTAAAACATGTATTTGCCAGCTCAAAACAGAGTGATTATGGTACACTGTATACATTACATACATTAAGTTTCATAGCTAGAGGATTAGATATGGAGTAATTTGAAACAATATTTTCACAATTCTAAATTAACTCAAGTACTGCAATCGGGTTCCTCAAATAAGTAAAAAAATAAAAACACCCTTATCCGCATGGCCGTATCAGATCGTTACTTTGAAACGGTTAGTTCTGTTTATATGCTTAATGATATGTCAATGTTTCATTATATTAGTCTCTTATATGTCTTTAAGGTTTGCATGATTGTTATAATGTAAATATATATGCTAATATTATGTTAATATTAAGCACAGCATAGCGAAACATGAATAAATATTTCGTTCGGTATCAAATCTGACTTGGGTAGTTTTAGATGAATATTGCAAGAAGTAATACACTTATCGTTGTATGAATCTCCTTTAAGAAAAATATACGCTGTTATCCAAATGCATTTATGTTAATGATGCTTCAAAAATACTAATTTTATGTATAAAACACGACAAAACTTAGATGACCTCTATAGGAAACTCATTATATCTTGTGATTGATAATGTCATTATATAAGAGTGGTTAAATGTCCTAGTGGTTAACGCGTCGGACTAGTAATCTACGGATAATTAGTCGCATTGGTTCTTACTCCGCCAGAAGAACGCCGCTTTTTTCTTAAGCACAACACTTTACTCTCATTGCTAAGTATTGTATGTATTCCAGTTTAAAGGCTCATTAAGCCTGAGAAATGCTATAACTTTCATTTGTCCTTTTAATTTATCTTTCGTATGAATTCAAAATACTACTTTGTTTACACTTTGCTACCACACATAACTGCATGTTCAGTGCTATTATCTTCAATTGTTTAACATCTACAATGCTCTAAACATATTATTGGATTATTGAACACAAAGTTGGCATTTCTATTTAAGATTATAAACTATTTATTTCTGAGGGATAATGTGTCTTTAACAATCAATGATAAATTCCCTACAGAAGGGTAAGATGCACCTTCAGTTAAGAAATATTCTGCACATGTTTAGAAATCACGTATCCGAACATATCATTGCGAAAAATTATATTTTATAAGAAAGTTCCCCAATAAAAAAACCGGAAAATTTAAAAATTTAAAAATTAAATTTAAAAAAAAAACTGTAAAAAGGCTTTTTTTTAAGAAAACACAAAGGGAAAAATGTTCCCAGGTTTTATGGCCAAAATTTTTTTCATAACAACATATTAAATTTTGATGCAATACTAATAACATAGTTTTCAAATTTTTTTTAAATTCAAAAGTGGCCCCCCTTTGGGTGTTCAAAATAGTTAAATTTTCAAAATGTGTCAATATTGTCGGGGAGTTAAGGCCAAAAAGTAGATGGTTTTTACAATTTGACTTTACGCCAGAGAAGAATTCCCTCCGCCACTGTTTACTCCCCGGTCTTTCAAAACCTTAGAAAAAAGAGGTGCCGACTTTTTACGCAAAAATGTCAGCCACTTCAGTACTAATAAATTTCCCTTTAATAATTTGGTATAATAAAACTGTAATGCTTTATTGAATATTTTAATGTATTTTTTATTTAAAAAAAAGAAACAAATAACGCATTTCCCCATTTAAAGATGAAAAAAACGTTTCAAAATTTTTTTATTTCTCGCTGAGTTACTGACAAAATATAATTTTAGTTTACAAATTCAAAGATAGTTAAAATTGTTGTAGCGGAACATATAAAAGTAAAACTATATCAATGAAACAGTAACAAAATCACTTATATGGAATGCATTTGTGCATAAATTGTCAAAATTAAATGAGAAAATTGCCCTTGCGTAACTTTGTTATATGATTATATGCATATTTGTAATTAGATATTTTCGTGATAAAACGCAATATTATTCACTTCAAAATAAGTTTCGCATATACCAGACCTCGGCTTTAAATTAAAACCGGTTTTAAATAAAAACCGTGATCAGATATGATGTTATTGAAGCAGATGTATTTTAATATTTAATCTTAATTCATATTGCTTTAATAGAAATATTTAGATAGGATAATTTCATCTAAAATATTTATTGCATATCTCTCATTTTATTTGCAGGTATTTCTTTCTACTGCAGCTTTTTATAGACACTATGTTAAGAACGAACAAAAAATGTCATATCATCTGGATATTCTGAGACCTTATACCTGTAATATATTATGTGATTATGAATTATGAATGAAGGAAGGAAAAGAGTATTTGTTTACACTTTTCCCTTATTTAATGCAATGTGGTATAGCCAGTTTTAACTTTCGTACCTGCTATATAACTTATTATCTTCATATATAGAAAGTTACTGATATTTTTGTTTTAAATTTGTATATGAACTGACTCCATCTTATCAATATGTCTGGATATTTTGTAACTTTGATAAACCGTTTTAATAGCTTTAAATTGACAAAAATCAAAATAATTTCAATATAAATACTGCTCCACCATTGTCTTATACAAATAGTTTGTCTAAGGAAAATGGCGGACTTCTCAGACATCTTAGCGTGAAACTGATAAGGGTCGCCGATTGGCTTATCTGTAATACCCCTGCCAGCTTGATTGACAGGCGGCGTAATGTCAATTGTAGAAGAAAGATAACATTTAGATAAATAATACATTTCTTTCTTATATTTGTTAAATTTATTTGTAGGTACGATTGGTATACATTTTTACTATTGTGTCTTTTTGTAAAATCATTAAAATTACTTATGATCGAAGAACATTTGTATAATTATGATTAATTTAGATTTTTATTTTACCATCAACATGGCTTACGATGATATGACAGTTATACATAATTATCTGATAGCGTTTAGATAACTAAATAAATGCAAAATAGCACATCATGCTAACCATTTTGAAATATATTAAATGCATATTTCAATAACACCCTGACTTCAAATTTTAACAGTCCTTTGTTACCAGAATAATGCCAAATGCCTTTCTATTACTCCATATTTGAATTAGATAATTAATATCACACGATAACTAAAATCATTTATTAAGCATCGTTAAGCTATAACTACATAATTATTGAAGTGCATTCTTTATTATTGTGTTCATGGTAAACAATTAAACATTGGATCAATTCGTTCGCCCTGCGGCACCGCACTGCACAGATATATCTAGCTTTATCTGTATTCATTAACAATTAATTCAATTTTTGAACACTACAATATAAACTA